TCACTTGAAGTCTACTAAAACTAAGGCTCCTATCAACAAACTCATTACCATTACCTTGAAGCTCATTATTCTCAGTTCTCGGAGTTTCAGCCTCTGAACTCCTTTCCCTAGAGATCGACTCCACTGCATCCTCTGGAATGTGGCCTTGACTAGCTGGAGACACAGACCGCTCAGTTTCAGGACTTAAAATCTCAGGCCCAGAATCCCCACTAACAGTAATATGAGACGCCACTATGGGCTGAACTACAACACCCTTAGCCAAACCATTAGCTCATCTAACATACGTCTGTCTGACAGTATTCAAAGTATCTCCCAGAGACTGAACACAGGACCTATATGCAAACTACATTTCCCTATGATTGAGATATGGCTTCTCCCAGTTATCCTTTCTTTTCTCATGTCCTGATCTCCTTTTTTATCTTCAGGGGGTAGGCTGTACAGCACTCTTGGTGGCCGTTGCAGCTGACAAACTGGAATTCACCAGAGCTGAGAAACATGTTCATAACTTCATGATGGACATTCAGTGTGCCAAAGAGGTAAGGAAGAACCATGACAAGAATGGACATGTTCCATGGGATTGTGGGCCAATTTCCCCTGTTTTGGACTGGGCTCCCCCAGCTTTGGAGTTCTCCAGAAGACAACATCCTGTGTCAACCCCCCATTTATTTTGGTTAAATAAGGTGTGGAATTCTTTGTTTTAAAGGAGAAACATTATAAAGATTACTATTATTATTATTTGAAACACAACAAAATGAGTCCACAGCAGATGTGGGTAGAGTTGCCAGATCACACTCTCCAATATTCAAGAATACTGGAAGAGGAGATGAGAAAATTCTCCAGTTTTGGTGGGATCAGCTCCAGCTAGTAGGACAGGGCTGTGTGCAAATCTCCAGTTCACCTATCAGAACAGCTCCTTTGGCTAAGATGTCTGCCTTGATTTTTGAGAACAGCAAAATGTTTTCTCTCTCTTTTTTCTCTTTATGGGTGCGTTTGTTGGAATGACAAGCCCAAAGCAATTGTGTTTGGTACTTAATACATACAGTAATCCTTAATGACATGATTCAGGGACCACCCCATGTTTGGGATTTGGGACTGGAAACCTCAGGACATGTGATGTGGTCTGCACACCATTTGTGGCTTACTCTGACAGTTTAGAGCGATTGATGGACATAAAGTAATATGGGGAAGCAGATTTGGGTTGACAACAACCCACCCTTTTTGACAGCATCCATTGAGAGCAGGAAATACAGCTTTAGCCAATGCTTTGAAGTTTCCCCCTTCTCACCCAACTTTACGTGCGCTTCCAGATGAAATGCTCAGCTGCCAACGTGTTGCAAGAGGCTTGGTTGTTATACAAACACACCAAGAGGAAGGACGGACGAAGAGCCCGCAAACATCACCGGAGGCTGCTGGCAGCCATCCATATGTAAGTGGATGGGATACACCGGGATGTTTTCTTGGTTTCCGCTCTGACCCTGGGAAAGATTGAAATCTGCTGCTTAGATTGAATTGGGCATTGCAGCTGGCTGTTCCTGACTTCCGAAATGCATAGAAAGCTGGAACAGTATGGTGCGAGAAGGGATCCTGGGAATTGCAGCTCGGGTGAGAGACTGTGGCTGGACCTATGCTACCCTATATCCTATGATCTGATCCCAGATTACCTGCTTATCTCAGATTATCTGCTAGTGTAGACTCATACAATCCAGTTCAAAGCAGATAATCTGAGATCAAATCCTGGGATATAAGGCAATGTGGAACGGGCCTTAGTCTGGAGAACAAGCCCTATGAGGAGAGGCTTAAAGAGCTGGGCATGTTTAGCCTGAAGAAGAGAAGGCTGAGAGGAGACATGATAGTCATGTATAAATAAGTGACAGGAAGTCACAGGGAGGAGGGAGCAAGCTTGTTTTCCGCTGCCCTGGAGACTAGGACGAGGAACAATGACTTAAAACTACAAGAAAGGAGATTCCATCTGAACATTAGGAAGAACTTCCTGACTGTGAGAGCTGTTCAGCAGTGGAACTCTCTGCCCCGGAGTGTGGTGGAGGCTCCTTCTTTGGAAGCTTTTAAACAGAGGCTGGATGGCCATCTGTCAGGGGTGATTTGAATGCAATATTCCTGCTTCTTGGCAGGGGGTTGGACTGGATGGCCCATGAGGTCTCTTCCAACTCGATGATTCTATGATTCTTAGTGATCTTGCCTAGCTTGGATTTCTTGGATTTTCTCCTTGAACAAGAGAAACAGTTGGAGACACTAGGTTCTTGTGGGTTTTTTCGGGCTATAGGGCCATGTTCTAGAGGCATTTCTCCTGACGTTTCGCCTGCATCTATGGCAAGCATCCTCAGAGGTAGTGAGGTCTGTTGGAATTAGGACAATGGGTTTATATATCTGTGGAATGGGTGGGGTGGGGCAAAGAGCTCTTCTCTGCTGGAGCTAGGTGTGAATGTTTCAACTGACCACCTTCATTAGCATTTGAAGGCCTGGCTGAGCCTGGGAAAATCTTTTGTTGAGAGGAGTTAAGATGTGCCTGGTTGTTTCCTCTCTGCTGTTTTGCTGTTGTAATTTTAGAGTTTTTTAATACTGGTAGCCAGATTTTGTTCATTTTCATGGTCTCTTCCTTTCTGTTGAAATTGTCCACATGCTTCTGCAGGAGAGGAAACAACCAGGCACATCTTAACACCTCTCAACAAAAGATTTTCCCAGGCTCAGCCAGGCCTTCAAATGCTAATGAAGGTGGTCCTATAGCCAGAAAGAACCCACAAGAACCTAGTTGGAGACATATCATCAAACCAATTTATATATATTGTGCAAACATGCCCAAACACCCAGTCAAGTAGTTTAAGGATGAATCTAGGTAAATGTAAAGGTGTTCCCCTGGAGTTTGGTGCTCATCTCCATTTCTAAGCCATTGTCCATAGACACCTCCAAGGTCCTGTGGCCGGCATGACTGCATGGAGTGCCAGATGAATCTACATTATAGATTGACATAATAATTTTAATATTATAGTTAAAGGTAAAGGTTTTCTCCTGACATTAAATCCAGTCGTGTCCGACTCTGGGGTGTGGTGCTCATCCCCATTTCTAAGCTGAAGAGCTGGCGTTATCTGTAGACACCTCCAAGGCCATGTGGCTGGCATGACTGCATGGAGCACCGTTATAATATAATATAACTATATATCACTATATATAAGTATATAACTATAATAATAGTAATAATATAACACATATTAATATAATACAATATAATAATATATTATATATTAGTATGGACTATGGACTATGTTTTTGGGACTATGTTCTTTGTTTTTAACTGCTTATTTAAATGTATTGAAATGCACAATATAATATGTATGCTTTTATGTCTTAATGCAGCATTAAATTATTGCCAATTTGTAAGCTGCTCTGAGTCCCCTTCGGGGTTGAGATAGAGCGGGGTAAAAAATGCAGTAAATAAATAAATAGATATAAATATTTCAGTTTGACAGCACTTTAACTGGGTCAATGCTATGAAATTAGGTATAGACAGTACAAGATATTTAGCCTTCTTGGCACAATAAAGAGTGCAGATGCATCCTAAGTCTATGTCTGCAACTCCTTCTCAGTCTCAAATGCTGATCCCACTGCATAGCGACAGATCCAAAAGTGTGACCTGTAACTCAGGATATTCCAAGTTCACATCATGACAGAGCCCTCTATTCCCTGGTCTTTCCTCTAGACATCTACTGTCTCTGAACCTCAGCCTTTCCACCTGCAATAATGGGAATAAGATTGAGCTTTACAGAGCTTTTGTAATAATTTCCTTTAAAATAATGTGCACAAAGCCATTTGAACAATGTTTCTATAAATGCTGAGGATCATTTCACATGGTTTGTTTTCACAGCACTTAAGTGCAAGACAGGTGATGGATGGATTCTCTTTGTTCTTCCTCCAAGGAGATGATAACAAGTTGTTCATGTTTTGCTATTGTTTGTGACCAGTTAGCATAGAAGTGGAGCGTCAGTTTCCTCTTTGCCTCAGACAGCAATATTTCTTAGTTGTTTGTATTTTGGGACTTGGGGCCCCCGATGGCGCAATGGGTTAAACCCTTGTGCCGACAAGTCGCTTCTGGTGAGGGAGAATTGGCCACCTGCAAGGACATTGCCCAGGGCATGCCTGGATGTTTTACCATGCTGTGGGAGGCTTCTCTCATGATCCTGGATGAGAAACTGGAGCTGACAGATGGGAGCTCACCCCGTCCCTGGATTTGAACTGCCGACCTTTTGGTCAGCAGTCCTGCTGTCCAAAAGGGTTTAAGGGTTTAACCCATTGTGCCACCGGGGCTCCTCTAGCATGGCTGATTTGATTACATTGAATCTGGCCCTGGTAATATTTAAATTTTCCAGATATTTAGCACCTCTTGAAGAATTGAATGCTAAGCCTAGACTCAGTGAGGAGCATGTGGAATGCACCACTGCCACTGAGGCCTGTTTATTTATATCACTAATTCGTTCAGCTATTATATTCATTTTCTTTTTGTACTCAAGACTACTATCCTCTGAAAGCCTCGGCTGCCTAAATTTCTTATTTAGCACTTTGATATGATGTGATTTGAACAAGCGGGTTAAACCGCAGAGATGCTGAACTTGCTGTTGGTAGTTCAAATCTGGGGAGCAGGGTGAGCTCCCACTGTTAGCTCCAGCTTCTGCCAACCTAGCAGTTTGGGGGGAAAGCCATGCAAATGTGAGTAGATCAATTGTTACCGCTTCTACAGGAAGGCAGTCATGCTGGCCACATGACCTTGGAGGTGTCTATGAACAACGCTGGCTCTTCGGCTTAGAAATGGAGATAAGCACCACCTCCCAGAGTCAGACACATCTAGACTTAATGTTAGGGGAAACCTTTACCTTTACATTTCAGGCCCCTTATATACCCTCTCAATCCAGTATCCTAGAGCCATCCTCCAAGCTATTGATTCCAATGAAGCTGTTTCCAGTCTTAAAACTGCAGAGGGAACAAATGGCAACAATTAATTAATAAATATTGCAATGGCAATAAGAAAAACAGGTTAAATAAACAGTTTTGGTATAAGTCACAAAAGGTTGGAGGTTTAGCACTTCCCAATATTAAAAAATACTATGAAGCAAACAGGATGAGACTAGTTATAGAAGGGATAATAAATAAGGAGGATTTGGAATGGTTGGAGGAAGATTCAGAAGAAGTAGAGGACAAAATTTGGAATATATTTTTTAAGGATATAAAAAGGAAAGAAATTAAGAAAATAAAAACCCCAATGTTGAGAAATGTTATAGGAATTTGGAATAGATACAAGGAAATATTATTATCAGAAAGTTCAACACTAACACCAATAATAATGGATAAAAAAATTCCCAATTTTTTTAAAAAAATATATTAGATAAAAAATTAAGAGAGAGGAATATAGATAGAATTGGAGATTGGATAAAAGCAAACATGAGGAAGGAAACTATATTGAGAGAATTTAGAGATATTAAACTCTCATGGGACTTTGTAATTCTTGCAATTGAAAATGTTTATTTCTTGGCAAGTAGGATTGAACCACACTACAATTGGATCGGTTCAGTCAAGGAAGCCACAGCTGAGTTTGCAAGACCTGAGTAGGTCAGTTGATGATTGAAAATCCTGGAGGTTATTTGACACATCCACAAATAACAGGAATGACACATACGACAGAGGATAGGATTTCAAGATCTCTGTCTTTCCCTCATAGGTTTCGACATGTTAGAATGAAGCATCGGAAGATCCGAGATCGAGTCAACACTATGGTGGATATTTCTAAGGTGAGTATTCTACTGAAGGCAGCAATTCCTAGCCTAGAGCGCTGGCACTGATTTGAAAAGAGGCGTGACTTCTCATCACAGTTGCCTTTAATCTTAACCAACATTAAACTTCTTTCCCTTTTATTTTGCACATGTAACACTTTCTTTTCGCTTGAGACAATGCTTCTATAATGAACATGGCATTGCTTGTTCTCACTACCTGGATACACTGCATTTTGTAGTGGAGGAAAACGTAGCTCTTCTTCAAAACAGGAACGCTCATTAGAATCAATCAGTTCCTTCCTTCTTTCTTCCCACAATTCTTGGTTATGCTGATCAGGGATGATGGACATTATCGTCCAACAGCCTGTGAATGACACACGTACCCTCCATTAAATGACTTTAAATAAATGACTTTAAATAATTGAACAAATGAGGGAAAGAAAAGGAGTGACACAGATTATCTGCTGCTCAGTGGCATGTGTATGAGGGAATGGAAAGAAGGAAGAAAAGAAAAAAAGAAAAAGAAGGGAAAGAAAGGGAGGAGAAAAAAAGAAAAAGGAAGGGAAGGGAAGGGAAGGGAAGGGAAGGGAAGGGAAGGGAAGGGAAGGGAGAGATCATCTGGAGTTCCTGCAAGATGAACTGAACCACCTCAACTGGGCTCTCCAGGCCAATGGATACTCCACCTTAGACATCAGAAGAGCTGCAAGACCAAGAACAAGCCACGAGAGTAAAGATGAAGATCCACCCAGAGGAAAAGTGTTCCTGCCATACATCAAGGGAACCACTGACCGCATAGGGAAGCTGATGAGGAAACACAACATACAAACAATCTACAAACCCACCAAGAAAATCCAACAAATGCTACATTCAGCAAAGGACAAGAGGGATCCTCTCACCTCTGCAGGAGTCTACCGTATACCATGCAGCTGTGGACAATTCTACATAGGGACCACCAAACGCAGCATTGCCCAAACACGAATCAAGGAACATGAAAGGCACTGCAGACTACTTCAAACAGAGAAGTCAGCCATAGCAGAGCACCTGATGAACCAACCTGGACACAGCATATTTACCTGAGAACACTGAAATGCTGGACCACTCTCACAACCACCATGTCAGACTACACAGAGAAGTCATTGAAATCCACAAGATGTGGACAATTTCAACAGAAAGGAAAAGACCATGAAAATGAACAAAATCTGGCTACCAGTATTAAAAAACTCTAAAAATTACAACAGCAAAACAGCAGAGAGGAAACAACCAGGCACATCTTAACACCTCTCAACAAAAGATTTCCCCAGGCTCAGCCAGGCCTTCAAATGCTAATGAAGGTGGTCAGTTGAAACATTCACACCTAGCTCCAGCAGAGAAAAGCTCTTTGCCCCACCCAGCCATTCCACAGATATATAAACCCATTTTCCTATTTCCAACAGACCTCACTACCTCTGAGGATGCTTGCCATAGATGCAGGCGAAACGTCAGGAGAAATGCCTCTAGAACATGGCCATATAGCCTGAAAAAACCCACAGAACCTTCAGTGCCAGTGCCAGTGTCTTGTTATGGCATTGAATCGCTGCCGATTGTGAACCTCTTTGAGTCGCCTCTGGCTGAGAAAGGCGGTATACAAATGCAGTAAATAAAAATAAGTAACAATGAAATATGCAGATAATACACAACTCTACTACTCCTTTCCACCAAACTCCAAGGAATGCGTCTATTCCCAGAAAGAAAGAGTCCCAGGCAACATATGACACTGTACCACCTGCTTTAGAGACATGGGCATTGGGTCCTCTTGTATGTGCCAAAATGTCAGCATGAGTCCCAGGCAACATATGACACTGTACCACCTGCTTTAGAGACACGGGCATTGGGTCCTCTTGTATGTGCCAAAATGTCAGCATCTTCAGGCAGAGATCTGCTCTATCATTTGGAAATGGGACAACAGTGGGATATGTGTGTTAGAGACAAATGTCGTCCCCCGCCTGTTTCGCCACAATGGGGAGCTGAGCTTTGTGTGCCAAGCAATCTATCCAGAGTCCCTCAAGTGAGGCCATGACCTTCAGATGCAACCCAGGAGGCCGTCTTGTTGCACTGCCAGAATGAAAGATTAAACTGCCAGTTCAGTAGCTTCTGTACTTATCATATGAAGGGAGGCGGACACTTGTCTTTTGCTTCAGGAAGTTCACATTCCTAAGTTGGCAGGTTGGGCACAGGTTGGCGTTGGGTTTTTGAAGCAGGAGGAAATTTTGCTTTGTTTTGTATTCTGTATTCTGTGTATTTTGAGGGGTTTTTAATACCTCGGGACTTAAGGTGGTTAGCTGTCATCCTCTCTTCAAAAGAACCCTGGGAACCATGCTTTTTATATGTGTATATTGTGGCAAGGAGGCTTACCAACTGTCCAGGAAGAAAATACCTTGTTTGTTTTCACATTCAGGACACTTGCCAAAAAACATGGCAGTAAGGCCAACTTTTATATTTTGGTGCCCAGTTTTGTTAGCTTCATTTGTATCTTTGTCACTCTGAAGCTGGACTCACTGGAAATGTCAGCATTACTGTTGAGTCTAAAATTCATGTATTAGATTGAGATATATATATATATATATCTATATATGTGTGTGTAATGTTTGTTTGTGGGATTGACATAACTCAAAAACCACTGGCCGAATTGACACCAAATTTGGACACAATACACCTATCAGGCCAACGAGTGTCCATCACTCATAAAAACACTGAAAAATGCAGCAGAACAGACTTAAAAAGCATAAAATAAAATAAAAAAAATACAACACATGCGCAAAACCACACATATACACAAATATATATACACACACATACACACAAAACACATATACACAGACTGGGGCACAGCAACACGTGGCGGGGATGGCTAGTATATACACACACACCCCAAATAGCTTCAGCCCCTCTTATTTCATCATAACAAATCAATGCAAACCATTAGTTCTTACCTTTTGTTGTGTCAGGAGCGACTTGAGAAACTGCAAGTTGCTTCTGGTGTGAGAGAATTGGCCATCTGTAAGGATGTTTGCCGGAGGACGCCCAGATGTTTTACTATCCTCTAAGAGTCTTCTGTCATGTCCCTGCATGAGAAGCTGGAGCTGACAGATGGGAGCTTACCCCACTCCCCAGATTTGAACCACCGACCTTCAGCCAGCACAAGGGTTTGACCCATTGTGCCACCATGGGCTCCAGCTCTTACTTAAGAAGTTATTACTGCCTGAGCATCCCTTTTCCAAAACATTCCTAAACCTGAAATTCTCCACACCAATGATTGAGAGAATGGCACCTTTGCTTTCTGAAGGCTCAATGTTCGCAACTTTCTTCCATGCCCATTATTTTAAATATTTCAAAAAATGACCCTCACTATGTTTATGAGAAAATGCTTTATTTTTGTGTTTGGATTTGAGTCCCATCTCCATCATGTATGCATATGAAAATACAGGTACTCCGAAATCTCAACATTTCTGGTCCAAACTATTTAGAATTAGGGATATTCAGTCTATACCTCAGTATTTACTTGTTTACCCCTTTTCTCATTGTTTTGATTCAAGATCTGCAAACGGTGGGAAATTAAGGTTCAACAAGAGAGGGCCTTCCTTACACTAACACTTCCCATCATTTTGTAGTGGTCATGAGCCACAAATATTTCCATATACTGTATATATTCGAGTATAAGCCCGGTTTTTTAGCCTTTTTTTAAGGCTGAAAAGCCCCCCTCAGTTTATACTTTGGTGGGGGTCCTGTCAGAAAGGCATGGAGCTGTAAGAAGGGCTTCTTTCAGCCCCAGGCCTTCCTGCCAGGACCCTCACCTCTCTGCCCAACAACCCAGCTCTCCTCCTCTCTTGGTGCCAGTCTTTTCCACTTTTTCTTATTCATATGCACACAGCATTTCCCGCAAAATGTATAGTTAAAACAAAGTATGGTGGTTATTGGAAGGATATGTAAGCACATTTACCTTGAAGAAAGTTAGAATTCAGTGTTCCCTCGCTACTTCACAGTTTGATTTTAGCGGACTCGCTGTTTCGTGGTTTTTCAATAAATATTAAATTATTTATTTATTTATTTATTTATTTATTTATTAACAGCATTTATATCCCACCCTTCTCACCCCGCAGGGGACTCAGGTCGGATCAGAATGCACATATACACGGCAAAAATTCAATGCCATAGGCACACAACATATATAGAAAGAAACACAGAGGCTATTTAACTTTCCAGCTTCATGAGGTATGCTTTTTGAATTCTGGTCACTGGGGGAGCTGTCGCTTCACCATCCACTTGTGACACCGATGGAGTACTTCCTCATTCTTTTGCACATTGGAGAGTTTTTATGGTGTCGTAAATTAGTTAAATTAGTCTTGCCACATAAACAGTACCTAAATTTCCTACTTGACAGATGTAACTGTCTTTCGGGCTGCAAAGGTCGACAGCAAGCTAGACAAATGGCCAGAAGCTCACTCAGACCCGGGCTGGCTTCGAACTCATGACCTCAGTAGGGATTTTAATGCAACTGACTCCCAATCAGCTGCGCCACAACCCAGTCAAAATATATATAATATAAAAAATATAAAAATATATATTGCAGTATTTTCGCTGTTTCGCGGGCTTTTGCCACCGCCGCCACTCTCCAAGGCACTTTCCCTCTTCAGTCCTCCCTCCCTCCAGCCTTGAAGGGTCTTTCCTTCCTTTCCTTCGCTCTCTCTCTCTCTCTTCGCCCAGTCTCTCTTCCTTTCTTTGCAGCCCCGCACTGAGAGGGAGGTGGGTGGGGGGAGCCGAAGATACAGGAGTGTTTAAAAAGAAACAGGTACAGTACATGTACTGCACAGAACAGTGTGGGAAAGGTTATTAAGAGAAAGGGTTGTGTTGTGTGTACGTGTGTGGGGAGGGTTTATTTTAAGTTTATAAAGACTTTAAAAAGTGTATAACTACTAAAATAATATATAAATATTAAAATAATATTAAAATAAATATAGTGTTCCTACTTTGCGGATTTTCACTTATCACTTATTCTGGGCACCACAATTCAAGAGAGATATTGACAAGCTGGAATGTGTCCAGAGGAGGGCGACTAAAATGATCAAGGTCTGGAGAACAAGCCCTATGAGGAGCGGCTTAAGGAGCTGGGCATGTTTAGCCTGAAGAAGAGAAGGCTGAGAGGAGATATGATAGCCATATATAAATATGTGAGAGGAAGCCACAGGGAGGAGGGAGCAAGCTTGTTTTCTGCTTCCTTGGAGACTAGGACGCGAACAATGGCTTCAAACTACAAGAGAGGAGATTCCATCTGAACACGAGGAAGAACTTCCTGACTGTGAGAGCCGTTCAGCAGTGGAACTCTCTGCCCCGGAGTGTGGTGGAGGCTCCTTCTTTGGAAGCTTTTAAACAAAGGCTGGCCATCTGCCAGGGGTGATTTGAATGCAATATTTCTGCTTCTTGGCAGGGGGTTAGACTGAATGGCCCATGAGGTCTCTTCCAACTCTTTGATTCTATGATTCTACGAGTGGTCCTGGAACATAACACCTACAATAAGTGAGGGAACACTGTAGTTGTTTAATCAGAGTTGGACAGTCTTATCTTAAATTAATTTTATGTAAATACTCCAAAACTTTTAAACTACTGATGGCTCAATTAATATAATTTTATTGGTATCTATTTTTATTTTGAAATTGGTTTATATTCGAGTCAATACATTTTCCCAGCTCTTTGAGGTAAAATTAAATGCCCCGGCTTATATTCAGGTCGACTTATACTCAAGTATAAGTCGAGTATATATGGTATATATATAACTAGTATATATGGTATATATATAACTAGTGTAAGTGTATGTGATGTGACAAGGGTCAGCATAGCCCAGTACACATTTTGAAGGAGGAACTTTGCATTTAGCTTTCTGCTCCATTAGAAACACTTGTTTCCGCCTGTCTCCAGAGGGAATAGCTCCATCTAGGGGTCATTTTCTAACATAAGTGCCAAAGTAAGGTTGGCATAGCAGAAAGAAGAAAGTCATTTTTTTTTCACCATATGACTTTTTCAAATCTCGATCACAAACATAAGGAAATGTACAAATCATAAGTTCTAATACAAAAAAAAAACACATTCCCCTCCCGGTGCTGCAGCCAAATCCAGCTGTTTGTGGATGCAGAAGACATATGTAAAATAGAAAGAATCTTTTGGGGAGGAATGACAGCCAGTCCACAGTTCAGTACTGAACACTACCGATTGCACAGCAATATAAGGCCAGGTTTAAATAAGTAACCACCAAAGCTCACTGCATGGATAGATAAATCAGTCTATTTTGTTTTGTTTTTTAATTCCATTCCGGATATTGAATGCGCAGAAATGAGCTGCAAATAAATTAGGTAAAGGTAAAAATTTCACTTAACATCAAGTCTAGTCGTGTCTGGCTCCGGGGGTGGTGCTCATCTCCATTTCTAAGCCGAAGAGCCGGTATTGTCCGTAGACACCTCCTAGGTCATGTGGCCAGCATGACTGCATGGAGTGCCATTACTTTCCTGCAGAAGTTGTACCTCTTGATCTACTCACATTTGCATGTTTTCAAACTGCTGGTTGGCAGAAGCTGGGGCTAACATCGGGAGCTCACACCACTCCCTGGATTTGAATTGCCAACCTTTTGGTCAGCAAGTTCACCTGCTCAGCAGTGTAACCTGCTGTGCCAGCGGGGGAGGGGTGGCACAAATAAATTAGCTACCTATAAAAAATTACCTGGGGACAATGAATGTATAATCTTATATTTGAATGGGAATGATCCATGGAGGAAAGTTTTCTTAACTTTGTTTCTAAAACAATATTCTATTATGTTGGTTAGAGTGTTTCTTTCCCCCTTTTGTGGGTATTTATGTGTCAGTAATATTAAGTATTTGTTAAAAAAATAACAATGTAATATTTGTTTTGTTGACATTATGTTGACCTCGTGTTAATGAAAACTTTTTAAAAAATGTTACTTTGTAAAGATTTCCAGAAGCGTTTTGATAGGATCCCCCCCCCCCCCAGTATTTACACTATTATTTGATTTGTCTTAAGATTGAAAAATATATGACCTTCCAGGTGTTGCTGAAACTACAACTCCTATCAGCCCTAGCCAGCACAGCCAATCGGTGAGGACTGCTGGGGGTTCCAGTGCAACTGCAACTAGAAAAGTGCAATGATTGCTATCTCTAATTCAAAATAAATTAGAACCACTGAAGTTGACTTAACAAGCTCTCATTGATTCAGCGTGACTATGCTGTTTGGGGATCTCATTGGGCTTGACTTAGAGCAGAGTTTCTCAAACTGTGCTCCTCCAGATAGTTTGGACTTCAGCCCCCACAATTCCTAACAGCTGGTAAACTGGGAGCTGAAGTCCAAAACAGTTGGAGTAGCAGTTTGAGAAATACTGACTTAACGCAACTAACAAAAACAAAGTAACATGGCAAGTTTTGGTCTCCTGCAAAAGCCAAATATGTGACTATTGTGTTCCTTTTGCTATTCTTTCCAGATGCAAATGATCATGTGTGACCTCAGCTCCAGCCTTAGCAATTCCCACCGGGAGCTGGAGAAGCGGATCGAGTCCCTGGACAAGAAACTGGATGAGATGACCAAGTTGCTCTCAGTCCTTGTGGAGTCCAAGCATCAGCAGGAACAGCCAGTGCTCTGGATTCCTCCCAATGGTGCCAGCTAGGTATGGCACCTGAAACCAAATCCTGGGGTCTATGGCATAGTTTTTGCCAATTTAAACCTATGAATAGCCACTGCTTTATCATCCGGTTGCAGTTGGGGTTTGTAGTTTGGTGAGGCACAGGACCTGTTTGGCTGAGCAGTTTAAATGCCCCTCCCTAAACTACAAGCCCCATTATTCTGCAAGAGGCAGAAACCAGATTTAAAGTGAACTATGTTCTAGTGCAGTGTTTCTCAGCCTTCCTAATGCTGCGATCCCTTAATACAGTTCCTCATATTGTGTTGACTCCAACCATAAAATTAGTTTCATTGCTATTTCATAACTCTTAATTTTGCTACTGTTGTGAATCGTAATGTAAATATCTGATATGCAGGGTGTATTTTCATTCACTGGACCAAATTTGGGACAAATATCCAATACGCCCAAATTAGAGTACTGGTAGGGTTGGTGGGGGGGGGGGGGGGGGAGTATTGATATTGTCATTTGGGAGTTGCAGTTGCTAGGATTTATAGTTCACCTACAATCAAAGAGCATTCTGAACTCCACCAATGTTGGAATTGAACCAAACTTGGCACACAGAACTCCCTTGACCAACAGAAAATACTAAAAGGGTTTGGTGGGGATTGACCTTGAGTTTTAAATCTACATCCAGATGGATCTGGACCAAACTTGGCACGAATGCTCAGTATGCCCAGATGTGAACACTGGTGGAGTTTGGGGGAAATAGACCTTGACATTTGGGAGTTGGGCCAAATTTGGCATAAATACTCAATACGTCCAAATTTGAGTACTGGTGGGGTTGGGTGTGTGTGTGATTTTTTCATTTGGGAGTTGTGGTTGCTGGGATTTATAGTTCACCAACGATCAAAAAGAATTCTGAACCCCACCAACAGAATTGGACCAAACTTCCCACAAAGAACTCCCATGTCTTGAAGGGACTCACTAGCGTGAGCCTCCCTCCAACCTTGCACGCTCTCCTCACCTGCACATGTGCACCACGCTGCCATTCGCCAAGCACACCTGCTCTCCTCCCCCCTACTTGTAGTCTAAGAAACGGCCCTCCCCTTGGCTGAGAGGGCAGCCAATCATAGCAGAGGAGGGCTTTTGTTGGATTTGCATCTGTTTCCAAGAAGGAAGAGAAGTACAGGCAGAAAGATATTCAGCCTTCTCTGTGAAAGGAGTTCTTAAGACCATCAGAAATATAGGTTTTCTGATAATCTTTTGCGACCCCTTTGAAACCTTCTTGCAACCCCCTCCAGGGGTCCCAATCCCCAGATTGAGAAACGCTGCTCTAGTGGTGATGAGGTCCTTAGTCTTTTCCTCCTACTTCCAACTCAAACTATAACCAAATAGTTTATCCCACCTTGATTTCGATTCGGTGAAACCTTTGGGGAGTGGGCAAATCAAATGCTTCAAAAACCCAGATTTGGTATGATCACATGATTCCTGTCTATTTTGATTGTAACTTCTGCTTTCTTCCCATTTTAGGTGGCTAAAGAGGTGATGCTGATCTTGTTGATTACACAATGGTGGAGAAACTTCTAAAACCCACTACAGTCTCTATAGGATCAAGCAGTCTATAGGGGAAGCTATGGACTACAACCCCATCTTGTGGCAAAGGACAATCACGACAAGCATTTTGCCAAGATTGCCGTTAGCATCACCCGCTAGTGAAGGATGATCAGGATGGCTGAATTTTACTTGCCACGGAAAGACTTCTTGCAGCCCTGAAAGAACTCCGTGAAGGCGCATATGATGTTTCAGGAGGATCTTGGATGGAAATCAAAGGCATCACTTCCATCCATCTCACAGGATTTTGAGCCATTAAAAAGAGAAAGAGTTCTGGCAACAAAATGTTACAGATAGGAAATAGTGAGACATGCACTCAAATAACGGAAGAAAGGCTCTGAGCCATGGAACACAAAGGCCTTGCCCCTTTCTTCCCTTTTGGCAGAAGAAACGTCTTCCATTTTGGGGCAAGACTCAAATCTACAGGAAGCAGGTGGTTAGTGATTTGTTACACAGGATCTCGAAGATGACGGTGAAGGTAGATCCCACCCTCTGAAGTCTTGACTTATATGTAGCCATTGACTCGGTCCCCTCCAGCAAGGTACAAGTGCCTCTACGCAAGGAAATGTCTCTGTATATTGGGGCCAGTCTTATTTTGGAGGAAAATGTGCCCGTGACATTTGATGCTACTTTAAATGACTACCATGGCTGGCCAAGCTGGCTCATGAAAATGGGTAGACTTATGGATTACCAGCCAGCCTTCTGTAGCATTTGCTTTTGAGGTTGGTACAAAGTGCCTTAAACAGCACTGTCACAATCACAATAGGTGAAGAAATAGCAATACAAAGAACGAGGGCAGAAAAGCGCAACTTATTAAGATCCTAGCATGACTCCAGTTCAAATGCTTTTAGACAAAAGAGTTGGGAAATGCTTTTGAAACAATTGCTAAGCACTTTACTTAGGTGATCCCTCGTTGTCCGAGTAGGATAATCTTCCAAGATCAGTGTACTGGTGGGTCTGTAAGTGACTGTGGAGCCCTATTCTTGATCTGCATCTTCTCCCGCAGTGAGGGCATTGGTTTCCAGGTGGATGGTGGTCTCGGTCGGGGTTGGCTTGACATGTCTTCCTCTTGGCACGTTTCTCTCTTTCGCCCTCCATTCGTGCCTCTTCAAATTTTACAGCACTGCTGGTCACAGCTGTCCTCCAGCTGGAGTGCTCAAGGGCCAGGGCTTCCCAGTTCTCAGTGTCTATGCCAGGTAAGGTTGGCTTTGAGGCCATCTTTAAATCTCTTTTCCTGCCCACCAACATTCCGTTTTCCGTTCTGGAGTTCGGAGTAGAGCAACTGCTTTGGGAGACAGTGGTCAGGCATCCGGACAACGTGGCCAGTCCAGCGGAGTTGATGGCAGAGGACCATCACTTCAATGCTGGTGGTCTTTGCTTCTTTCAGCACACTGCCATTTGTCCACTTGTGACTTCCCAAGAAATTTGCAGGATTTTCCGGAGGCAGCGCTGATGGAATCGTTCCAGGAGTTGCATGTGACGTCTGTAGACAGTCCACGTCTCGCAGGCGTATAGCAGGGTTGGGAGGACAATAGCTTTATAAACAAGCACCTTGGTATCCCTAAGGATGTCCCGGTCCTCAAACACACTCTGGCTAAGCACTTTATTGGGTATTCAATATCGGATGGGATGGACCAATTAACTCGACTCAACTTTAAGCCATTTCACCTGAACACTTCTCAAACAGATGGGTTATATACAGCTCAGGAACATCTTTAGGCAACTCCGATAAGTGCCAGAGGAGTATTTTGCTGCTTAAGACAGACTCAAAAGCTGAAAATGAGTTTCTCAAATTTTGACCTGACTATAGACCAGCCTTCTCAGACTAGGGCTTTCCAGATACATCAGACCTCAACTCCCCTAAATTACCAGTGAATTAGTTAGTGGATTCTGAGTGTTCCAGTCTTTTTTATCTGGAACAGTGGAAGGCTTCCATATCCGTGAGGCAGTGAATCTATTCTGTATTTTTGTCTAAACTTTTAAAAAACTATGCAATGCATTGAATGCTTTAACCACAGTCAGCACCTCAGGTAGCACCTTTCAAATCTGTACTGAATGTATTCACCACTCAAATAGCACCGGCTTCAACTGCTGCTGATTTAAGATGGTGCTCAGTTGGAGAGGGCAACTAAAAGACCAATGGGTTTAAATTGTTAGCCATCCAGGGATCTCCAAATCCACAATTATTGGTCATACTGGCTGAGGTTCAGAGGTGTTGGAAGTCCAAACTTTGGGAAATTGCTAGGGGTGGGGAGAGAATAAAAGGACTCGATCTTTGGCCTGGCAGATCATATAATCACAGAGTTGGAAGAGATCTCATGGGCCATCCAGTCCAACCCCATTCTGCCAAGAAGCAGGAAAATTGCATTTCCCGAGAGATGGCCATCCAGACTCTGTTTAAAAGCCTCCAAAGAAGGAGCCTCCACCACACTCCAGGGCAGAGAGTTCCACTGGTGAACAGCTCTCAGAGTTATGAAGTTCTTCCTCATGTTCAGGTGGAATCTCCTTTCCTGTAGTTCGAAGCCATTGTTCTGCATACTAGTCTCTAGAGCTATAGAAAACAAGCTTGCTCCCTCCTACCTATGACTCCCTATGTTTAGATTATAACTCCCATTGTTCTTACAATTGGCTATTCTGGTAGTTGACAAACCTTATAGGCTAAAATGCCAGGAAAAGACTGCCCATTGGAGATTATATTGTTGGAACAGAATAGGGATTGAGTGACAGCTGTTAGTATATTTTAAAAGAACTGCCTGTCATTCTGTTATAATCATTTGTGGTCCTGGATGGCAAATTCTCTTGGCTACCTTACATGGTGCCATCTTGAACAGCAGCAAAGATTCAATGTGCCCTTTGCCATCAGCAGGGAAATCCTCACGCACCCTGAATTCACAGCCACACAACAGCTGTGATTTGGCACAGGATAGTCTCCATGCAGCCACGCCAGCCACATGACCTTGGAGGCGTCTACGGACAACGGCGGTTCTGCGGCTTAGAAATTGAGATGAGCACCAACCCCTGGAGTCGGACATGACTAGACTTAATGTCAGGGAAAACCTTTGATATATTTACTTCACAGAGTAGCTCCCAGATAAAGAACCCTCATTTTGAGTCCTTTAGGATAGCAATCCAGGCCCGTAAAATATATATTTCTATGCAATCTTTGCTCAGCTGGCAATCTACCACAGAAGCCTAAGAAAAGCCAGACACCCTGGGCCAGGTTTAATGACACATTCCACCCATGAGATGAGTAAAGCGCCGCTCACCAAATCTATCACAAACTCCATGAAAGAACTGATTAAAAAGTGACATGTCGGGAGTTGCAAAGACTCAAAGGACAGCAGTGGATGAAGCGAATGAAAGCAGCAACACAGCAAAGTTGGGGAAAGCTGGCTTTTCAACCTACACATCTTGGTAATGGATTAAACGAGACAAGAGTTGCAGTTCAATAATGTCTGAAGAGCCTCTAGTTTTCCATCCCAGTTGTAGATGGAAAGAGAGAAGAGACCTCATCTACGTGCACAATATTCTTCTCAACAGGAGAGGCTTTTTATGCCCATTTAGAGCTTGCCTGGTAGCTGCTGCTTGAAACCCAAATATTACCATAATAAACTTTTGACTTTCTAATGAGGAGAATGAGCTTTTTAAACAGGTTCACAATCCCTCCTCCAGTGTTTTTTTTCAAGGTCTACTCCATCACATCTCAGAGTATTTCCACAGCAAAGAGACTGATGATTTTATAAAGCAGAGCAGAGGTTCTGGGATGCTTTCAGATGCGTGACTGCACAAGAATCACTTTACAGAAAGTACACAATTCTAGGGTTGCCAACTATTTTTTCTTGGTAGGATCCCTCTATCTTCAGTACCTGCATCAAAAGCATACTGTTATGGGCATGGAAAAATAGTAATCGGAAATATTTTCCCTTCCCAAAGCAGCCTCGAGATGAGGCATGGGCAAACTTTGGCCCTCCAGTGTTTTGGACTTCAACTCCCACAATTGTGGAACTGTGGAAGTTGAAGTCCAAAACACCTGGAGGGCCAACGTTTGCCCATGCCTGCTCTAGAGCTTTTCAGGGCTAAGAAAAAAATCTGGCAACCCTAACTTTTCCTATGCAAAAACATGTACAAAGGTACAGAAACTCGAGTTGTCACCCCATTAGTCTGTTAAATGTAGGTGGCCTTAATCTAATTGAGCAATCGAATCAGCATTAATTTGCACAGAAGAAAAGGACAATGGAATGAATCCAGGCGATGTTAGCTGAAGTCATATTGCGACTGAAGCTGGCCCATCAAGTTCCATTGGGACTGATATACATTGAACTTAGCCTGGAGCCAGCCTAATAGTTTTAAAGAGAGATACATATATAACTTCTATTTTAGAAGATGGACATATATTGCAACAGGGGTACTGAGAGCAGTGGTGGGGAATCTGTGGTTTCAGGGTCACATGTTGCCTATTCCCACAGGTGGGGAAGGCCTAAGGAAAAGGAGACTGGGGCACGGAAACCCCATAAACACACAAACCAGTGGGGAAGAGTCAAAACAGATATGGTTAGAAGAAAAGGAGGGGATAGGCAAGAAAAACTCAGTAAAAGACACAAGAAGCATTCACATTGATTAAAAAGACCAAAAAATCCTAGGTTTTGTTCCTGTTCTTTCCAAATTCGTTTTACAGCTCCAATCATATTTTGTTTATCCCAGAGTATTGCCTATCAGCTCCTCATACCATCAGACTTTTGATACCAATATTGGGTATATTGGGTGTATTTGCCCCCAGTGGCACAATGGATAAACCCTTGGACTGAAGACTGACAGATCAGCAGTTTGAATCCGGGGAAAGCGGATGTCAGTTCCAGCTCCCCTTGTGGGAACACGAGGGAAGCCTCCCACAGGATGGTAAAATATCTGGGCATCCCCTGGGCAGCATCCTTACAGACAGCCAATTCTCTCACACCAGAAGCAACTTGCAGTTTCTCAAGTTGCTCCTGACACAGAAAAAAAACACCCAATGTAAAATTGGAACGAACAGGAACACACTTTAGGAATTTTCAATCCTTCTGCCTATGCATCAGTGGTGGCAATGGAATCGCCTTCCCTTATTGGCAGCCTGAGAAGCAGAGAGAAAAGGAATAACTGGCAAAAGGGGTGCTCAATGAATTGTCCCTGGAGACATGTGACCCTCAGACAAACATCCACCACCCTTCCCTCAAAGACATTCCCTGTTTTTCCCTCACTTGAGGGATTTTTTTCTCCTCAGATGTTTTGTCACCTTGTTTTTTTAAGTGCCTATATTAAAAATAATAAACATTTACACTATTTCAAAAACTACTATTTTGAGTCATTGAAGCTATCTTTTCAGTCAATCCGTAAGTGCACATACTCTGAGAAAACATCTTGTTTCAGTTGACATACCCTTTGATCAGGGGCCCTCGAGATATTATATTGCAACGCCCAGCATCACCTCATCATTGGCAATGCTGGCTAGGGTCTGGTAGAGAACAAGTGCCAACAACACCTGGAGACTGTCAAGTTACTCATTCCTTGGTTTATGTGAGGGCTGTCTAGTCGCTCTTGAGTTCCAACTCCCGGTTAAGAAGTGATTAATTCTGGAAGGCACAGACTAACACTATTTGAAGGGATCCTGTAGGATAGTGGTTCCCAACTTGTGGTCCATGGACCACCAGTGGTCAGCAAGAATATGGTCCATGGCCTACACCGTTGCAATGAGAGTGACTGGTCTTGCTAAACCCTCTTATAGTGCTGAGGCTTATTAAATATGGTTTTCTGTGGGCAAGCAGATGGCGACTATTGGATGGCAGATGTTCTGTATCCAAAACTAGAGCTGATGTGGTCTATCCAATGCAATTTTCTGAATCAGCAAATAACCAAACCAAATCGAAAGTTGACCCCAAATAACCAAACCAAATCTTAAGTTGGCCGGAAACTGTTTTGTAACACTTTTCATACTAATACTGGAGAGTGGTCCCTGGTCAAAAAAAGGTTGGTAACCACTGCTGAAGGATCTTCAGACTAACCAAAAGATCTCTGGAACACAAGCTTGCACAGATCCAATCTACTTCATCAGATACTACCAGATTTCTTTTTACGCTGACAGATGAACATGACTATGTTTGAAGGCCATCAATTTGCCCACCATTTGATTTATATGAACACAGTCCACATTACAGACTTAACGTAAGTTTCCCAACAGAAGCTTCCCTGAGCTTTCTATTCCCCAAGACTTCACAGCAGCAGTCAAGAGAGAATGTAAGGGATCAGAATCGTCACTGTTTAATTACCATCATCTTCATTAACACTGGAAAAATCAACTCAAAACACCCCCATCCCTTATGCTTCACAAACAGTAAACCATTTCTGACTAAATGCGCCCCAGAAGAAGGCCTCGCATTCTCATGTCCCATCCCCTTTCCAAAACCAGACATCCAGTCAAGAGGTTCACAGTTTCCCTCCTTCTCACCCCAGGTCCCCAAGACAGTTGTCCTACTTCAGGCTGAAGTGAGGAAACCTGAGAGAGTGTAAACCCTCAGGCCGGGCTTCTGGCTCCTCACATGATGCCAGAGGTAGCGGGGCAAGCGTCGGAAGCTGACTCCGCAAGAGCAGCTGAAAACGGCTGGGCCAGGGTTGCAGGTGCCATGTTTCACCAGATGTTGGTGGCCTTGGAGGGACTTCCCGCAGGTTGAGCAAATAAAGAGAGCTTCTGCCAGGTGCTGGAGCTGGTGACGCAGGAGGTGCAGCAGGCCGCGGAACGAAGCCCCGCATTCACACAGGTAGCTCCGTCCTCGGCGCTTTGGCCCTTTCCGATGAGTGCGGAGTTGAGATACCCGGTTGAAGCGAACACTACAGTCGGGACACTTAAAGCACCCAAGGTGCTTTTTAACTATGGATTTTCTAGTTCTAAGGAAGGCCCGCTTGCGGGAGCGTTTGCGTGGGCGGCTCACTACAGATCCTTGGCTGCGCTGCTCTTCTATCTCCACGACAACCACATTGTTCTCCTCCACCTCCTCAGTTGGGTAACCTTCCTGCCCAGTTCGCACAGGAGCCTCCCAAGGCTCGGAGGCGACCGGAATGCCACCTCCTGTATCGTACTCCAGGTCTAAGACCTCAGGGTGGTCCCCAGAAGAACCAGGCGCCAAAGGGACAATCATTGGACCTTTGGTTGACTGGTCAGTGGTCACAGCCGGAGAAAGATGTTTGTTTTGCTGCTGCAAGTTTTGAAGGTCACCTGGCAGCTGAAAGGTTGTTGTTTGGGACTCCCAAGTCTTCTCTGCTTCATCTGTTGGCTCCAAGGTCAGTGTGTTTCCATATGGAACAGTTACAAACTGAGACTCTTGATCCACAGGGACAAAATGGACCGTCCCTGGGTCCAGAGAAGACAGGTGAGGGTCTGAGTCCAAGTAAAAAGTCGGTGACCCCTCTGAGGTCTTGATGATCACCTGTTGGAGGGGACTGGGCTCCATTTGGCTGTCCACCGTGGCTGCCTGCTCCTCAGCCTGTAGGAGCACAGTCCTAAAAAGGGTACAAGGATTCTGGCCTCCCCAGTCAGCTCCAATGACTGCCTGGTCCTTGATGCTGCCTAACTGCAGGGAATTCAAGCCTGCTTGGCTGTCCAGAAGAGTCGTTTGCTCTTCAGCCTGGAGGAAGAGGGGCCTCACCTCACTGACGTTCCCTTGGCTTTCAAAGACAGCAGCCTGTAACTCAGTGTAGCGATGATCTGGTGCAACAGCCACAGCTTCTGCCCCAGCATCATCCAAGATGATGATCTGATTTTCAGCATTCAGGACTGCTGACTGGTAGACCGTCCCCGCCACCTGACCTTCTAAGATGGCATCCTGCTTCTGCCATGGCTGCAGGAGATTGACACCTCCTTCTCCATCCAGGATGGCGACGGAATTTTCTGGGAAGGTAGATCCGAGCTGGCCCTCTGCCTGCGAAGCCTCGGGAACCAACTTTTTATGGTGCTTGAGGGCCTTTCGCTTGTTGGCCTTCAAGACACCCTTTGGCTGCTTCTGACTCTCTTGGGAAACTAGAAGGCCAGAAGTATCCCTCCCTGCAACAGATGGGTTTTCACTAAGGGGCTTGTAAACATAGGAAATCTGGGAGGAGCGCCGGCTTCCTTTCCTGTGGCAGACTTTAATGCCCTTGCGCGCCAGTTTCATGTGCCACTTGGTGTGGCGAGCAAAGTGCTCGGGGTGCAGGAACCGCTTGCCACACTCCAGGCAGCGCAGTTTCCGTGGTGGAGAGTGAGGCCGAGTTTGGAGTTGTTGCTGCTGCTGCAGCACTGCCTGTTGTTGCTGCTGCTGTTGTTGTTGCTGCTGCTGAATTGCCTGCTGCTGCTGAATTGCCTGCTGTTGTAGAACTGCCTGCTGTTGCTGCATCTCTTCCTGAATGTGATCTTGGAAGTGCTGGAGATAGTGCCACTCTTCCATGAACACCTGCAGGCACTTCTGGCACTGGTAAGCGCCAAGCACTGGGGGAGAAGGAATATCTGGGACCAATGGACAGGGGTACAAGGGAGGCAACCAGTTCTCATAATCTAGTGGCTTCACAGCAGAGGAAGGGGCTGGTGGCCGCTGGGGTGGCACACGCGGAACTTGCTGGCGCCGGACTGGTGGCCGCTGTATAGGCCGGGATGGACGTCTGACAGGCAAGCAAAAGCTGAAATAGGCCTCTCCATCATCGTCACTGCTGGAGACATCCAAAGATTCCCAGGAAAGGTAATTTTTGGCATTTTCCTAGTAGAAGAGAGGGAAAAGGAAAGATATTAGCAGAATGCATGGGAGGAGCCTCCACTAAATTTCACATCTTAACAACAACAACTTTATATCCCACCACTAACTCCCTGAAGAAACTTGGGGTGGCTTACAGATGACATAAAGTGCTTAAAAACAAACATAAAAGTGAATACAATCAAATAAAATACAGGTACATATACAAACATCAATTCAGACTCAATCAAGCTGCAATCCTCAAACCATGGTGGTAAATTACTGATACCAAACACTGGAATAAAATAAGTGCCAGCTGAAGTAATGGAGAGAGGGCATGGGATAAAAGTGCAGGATTACGTAGGACAACTAGGGGCTAAATATTCTGAAAGGTCTGATTGAAGAGTCACATCCTCAAGTCCCTACGAAAGGAGGGCAGTGTGAGGGCCGGTCTCATCTCACTGGGGACGGAGTTGCAAAGCTGGGGGGCTACCACCGAGAAAGCCCTCTCCCTTATTGACAGAGCTGTATTAACATTGGGGGGAGGGAAGGAGAAATCACAGAATAATGCCCGATTTCTTTTTTCTATTCTTTCAGCTTTGTGTCAGTGTTCATTTAACTGAAAATTACATTGCAAAATTAGCCAATTCCTAGAAGCCTAAGGAGTTGCCAAATAAAATCCCCAAATGTCCAGGAAGGACTGAATAGTCCCTTGTCCTTCTGTTTATCAGTATTAAAACACCTTCTTTAAAGCAAAATCCAAAGCAGACAACAAAAAAACCTCAATACATTAGAGAATTGAGATAATTACCAAAACATGCAGACAGAAGTCGATTTATACAAAACTGACAGAATAACCTTGTGCACAAATATGTGGTTCACACATACCCAATCAGTCCTGTTTATACAGATAGCAGGCCATAAAGTAAACATGGCTGTGGCAAGAATTTCAATGCCTAGATTTGATGTCAAAAAAGGCATTCATCCATGTACTAACCCATTCAAGTTTAATCTCAGAAAGTGGATAGGCAAACAGCAAGGCCCCAACATCAGATAGAAACGCAATAAAAGATTCAGGTTGCAAGTTTCCTGGGGGTAGGCTGCAGACAGAACTCTCCAGGCCTGGAGGGAAATTGCGAAAATGAAGAAGCAACATCCCCCCAACACACACATACCCTAAGGATTTTGTTCCATGAAGGTTTAAAAAATGGATGACAAAATGTTTCTTTTAGAATAAAAACAGTTAAAGGCAAGTTATTGTCGAAGGCTTTCATGGCCGGAATCACTGGGTTGTTGTAGTTTTTTTTCGGGCTATATGGCCATGTTCTAGAGGCATTCTCTCCTGACGTTTCGCCTGCATCTATGGCAAGCATCCTCAGGGGGAGTGAGGTCTGTTGGAACTAGGAAAATGGGTTTATATATCTGTGGAATGACCAGGGTGGGACAAAGGACTCTTGTCTGCTGAGCTAGGTGTGAATGTTTCAACTGACTACCTTGATTAGCATATAATGGCCTGACAGTGCCTGGGGAAATCTTTTGTTGAGAGGTGATTGATGTGCCTGATTGTTTCCCTCTGTTGTTTTGCTGTTGTAATTTTAGAGTTTTTTAATACTGGTAGCCAGATTTTGTTCATTTCCATGGTTTCCTCCTTTCTGTTGAAATTGTCCACATGCTTGCGGATTTCAATGAAAACCATGATTTTCAAAGATTTTCAGCTTTGAGAATGCTAATATTGACTTGTTCATTATTTATAAAAAGTTATGTTGCTTCTTGTGGGAATCCTAAAAAAAGAAGCACTTTTTCTTTCCCATAGCTATATATTCTGACACCTTTGCTTCTGATATCTAGATTCTGCCCTGTGCCTGATTACCCACTCCTCTTTCAGTTGTCCACATATGTGTGTTGGCAGTTCCTTGGCTTACTTTTATGTTTCTAGACCTCCATATTGCCAAGCAGACATAAAGCCTTCCTTCTCATAATAAGAACTGAGAGAAGACCAAGAACTACAACAATGTGAGCTATTGTACATAGTCTTACATATATGGCTATCTTACATATATAGTTTTTAGAAATAACGAAGGGGAGTAAATACATGAATACTTTGCTTTCAATATTTTGTTCCTCATTCTAAAACAAAATATTTCATAATTAATTTTGGCGATATTTCTGAGAAAAAAGATTTGAAAAGCATTTCCTTTCCTGCCACATGCAACAAGGCAAACATTATAATGCTTCTTTAAATGCAAAGATTTGAGTATTTCACACTCCATACCAAATGTAAAGGCAACTCCTCCAGCATTCCATCTTCGGTCACTTCAATTTCAGCTCCAACTTCGATTCCTGCCACTGCATCCATTGTGCCCTAAAATGAGGAGAAACACCACTAATTACCACTCATTTCAAACTCTAAAAGTCTTATTCTAAAATTGCGAAAAAATTATCAAGGATAGCAGTCAAGTACTAGAAGCATGTAAGAATGGAAGAATGGAAAGACAATCTGCTGGTAAACTCCAAGAGGCTCCCTGGAGAAGGAAAAGAAGTACTGGATCTAGGGAACCCGGTGCAATGAGAATTCCCATACTAAGTGGCACCATTATATCAGGTTGTACCAAAGAACAAGCTACCATTTATAGCAGTGGTTTCCAAACTGTGGTCCATGGAACCCCAGTGGTCTGCAAGAACTAAAATATGGTCCGTGGCCTCACCATTACTACACGGTTGCAACGAGAGCAACTGTTCTCACACAACTCTCTTATAGTGCCGAGGCTTATTAAATATTGTTTTCTGTGGGCAAGCAGATGGTGACTACTGGATGGCATATGTTCTATATCAGAAACTAGAGCTGATGTGGTCTCTCCAATGCAATTTTCCGAATCACCATCCTAAATAACCAAACCGAATCTAAAGTTGACCAAAAATCGATTGGTAACCCTTTTGGCACTATTGCTGGAGAGTGGTCCCTGGTGAAAGTGGTCCCTAGTTAAAAAAAAAAAGATTGGAAACTACTGATTTATAGGGATGATGAGAAATGCACTTTCTATCAGCATATGTAGAATCATAGAAGGAAATTGCAAAGACCATTTGGTTCAAATGGTTGACACTTCCATGCTGGAAAAAAGACTATAAAAGCAAACCCGAATGATGTTCATTCAACCTCCATTTAAAGAATTACAAAGGAGCCCATCGCTTTTGAAGGCAACCTATTCCATTGTTAAACAGCTCTTACACTAAGTAAGTTCTTCCTTATGTTTAGGTGGACTCCCAAGTCTAAGAATTTGAATTCGTTGCTTTGTGTTGTAGTTCCTGGACCAGAAGAAAACAAGTTTTCTCCATCTTCTACATTATATCATCTCACGTATTTCAAGATGGCTATCATATCACCTTGTGGTCTTCTCCAAGCCAAATATATCCAATTTCTTAAGTGAATCCCCTAAATCAGTGGTTTTCAACCTGTGGGTTCCTAGGTGTTTTGACCTACAACTCCCAGAAATCCCAGCCAGTTTACCAGTGGTTAGAATTTCTGAGAGTTGAAGGCCAAAACATCTGGGGATTCACAGGATGAGAACCACTGCTCTAAATAGTTCAATTTCAAAACCCTTTGATCATCTTAACTGCCCTTCTTTGGCCATGTTCCAGCTAGCAAATTTTCCCCTTGGACTGTGATGCAAATGGCACAGCATTCTAGCGGAGATCTATGTTGTTTGCTTCGGAAAACACACAGAGCTGGTTTGCCAGTGAGACTAACCGACCAATTTTGACAGGACAAGAACTGCCCCCAAAACAAATAGCAGCCATGAACATTCAAGAGCCCTCCCCCCTTCATTCTACTTTTTTGTTTTTGTTTTTTTGCTGCTGCAAAGAACCTTGGAATTCTGTTTATAGGTCTTGAATAGCAAATCTCAATTCCCAAATACTTGAGGTCCACAAGACTACCCTACCCTTCACTTTGGAGAAATGGCCAAAGAGAAGGTACATCATGTATGGACTTCTAGTCACTTGTGGAGTTTTGATGACCCCATAGGTCTTTCTTAGGCAGCAAATCTTAAACCTGTTTGTCATTGGCTTTCTAACATGCAAGTATAGTTTTAATAACTCTGTTGCCAAGAGGCCTGCCCAAAGTGGGCACATTGCTGGATCAGGTCCTCCTGTGGATTGAAGCAATGTGCCATTGCTGCCTAAACATGCCCTCTTGCTTTCTACCATCTAAACCAGTGGTTCTCAACCTGTGGGTCCCTAGGTATTTTGGCCCAGAACTCCCGGAAATCCCAGCCAGTTTACCAGCTGTTAGGATTTCTGGGACTTGAAGGCCAAAACATCTGGGGACCCACAGGTTGAGAACCACTGATCTAAACATTAGAACTTCTTGAAAGTCAGAGCTGTTTGACAGTGGAATAGGTTGCCTAGGAGGGTGGTGGAGTCTCTTCCTCTGGAGATATTTAATCAGATGCTAGATGGCTATCTGTTGAAAGTGGATTGGGTGGCCCTTGAGATTTCTTTTAACTCTGTGATAAGGCACTATGTCACAACAATTCAAGGTGAACAGGAATATATCTAGAGGAGAGTGACCAAAATGATCAAAGGTCTGGAAACTCTATGATGAATGGCTTAGGGAACTGGGTCTGTTTAGTGTAGAGAAAAGAATGTGAGAGAAGGGGACATGAGAGCCATGTTTAAATATTTGAAAGGATGGTGTATTGACGACAGAGCCATCTTATTTTCTGCTGTTCCATCTTTAACGCAACAGAGTAAGGAATTCAAACTAAAGGCAGCCCCTGAGTTACAAACATCCAACTTACAAATGACTCATAGTTAAGAACGGGGGTGAGACAACAGGAAGCGAGAGAAATCTACCCCTCTAAGGGGAAAGTCACTCCTGAAAGAGCTATCATGGAGAAAAGGTGTCTTCACTGAGGCCCCTTATACACTGCCATTTAAAAAACCAGATTATCTCCTTTGAACTGGATTATATTGCAAGTGTAATCTCATATAATCCAGTTCTGATCAGATAAAGTGGATTATCTTTGATAATCTGGATTATATGGCAGTGTAGAAAGTGCCTTCGGCTTTATCACCAATCCTTGTTGCTATACGAAGCAAATTTGTTCAAATCCAATAATCACAGGGACAAAAAGTGAGGTGACATCTTCAGAACAGAGGCAGCAAAGGAAACCACACAGGGGTGTTCACCCTTCACTATATTATCCAAAGTGATATATCCAAAATGATATATGTGTTTATGTGTGTGTGTGTGTGTATGTAATGTTCATTTGTGGGATTAACATAACTCAAAAACTCAAACTGCTGCCAAATTTGGCCACAAGACACCTACTAACCCAAGGAGTGACCATAACTCAAAAAAACAAAACAAAACAAAAAAAAAAAAACATTGGGGGGATTGATTTTGTCATTTGGGAGGTGGAGTTCCTGGGATTTATAGTTCACATACAATCAGAGAACATTCTGAACTCCACCTACAATGAAATTGAAACTTGGCACACGGAACTTCCACGATCAAGAGAAAATACTGGAAGGGTTTGGTGGGCATTGACCTTGAGTTTTGGAGTTGTAGTTCACCTACATCCAGAGAGCACTGTGGACTCAAACAATGATAGATCTGGACCAAACTTGACATGAATATTCCATATGCCCAACTAAGAACACAGATGGAGTTTGGGGAAAATAGACCTTGACATTTGGGAATTGCAGTTACTGGGATTTGCAGTTCACCTACAATCAAAGAGCATTCTGAAGTCCACAAACGATAGAATTGGGGCAAACTTCCCACACAGAACCCCCATGACCAATAGAAAAGGCCATCCAGTCCACCTCCCTTCACCAGGGCAAGAAAACATAATCAAATACTGTTTACCCACAAGCATAAAGAAATTATATATATTAGAAACTAACACTTTCTCATTACTTTATTTTCCAGATCAACAGGCTGGCCACAGCAACGCGTGGCAGGGGGCAGCTTATATATATATATATATATATATAGAGAGAGAGAGAGAGAGAGAGAGAGAGAGGTTGGAATTACCCTTAAAAGGTGTACCAGTTTTGACTAACAAATTCAACTTAAGAACAAACCTACAGATTCTACCTTGTTCATAACTCGGGGACTACCTAGATCAGGCAAGGGGCAAACTTTGGCCCTCCAGGTGTTTTGGATTCCAACTCTCTCAATTCCTAACAGCCACTCGACTGATAGGAATTGTGGGAGTTGGGAGTCCAAAACACCTGGAGGGCCTAGCCGGGGGGGGGGGGGGGTAATAAATTCAAACCAGAGGGGAAAAATCATTCAACTTAAGCTTTAGAAAGAATTTCAAACAGTGCAATGCTTCGGAGGGTGGTGGATTGCCAAACAACGAGATGGACATCTGCCAGCAACGCTTAGTGTCTCCTTGCATAGCAGAATGGGTGGCAGTTGGGCTCTCTCCCAACTCATATAAATTTAATGCACAAGGATGTGCCTAGAAGCATAGTCTAAAGGGCGATGGAGGATTTGAGCCCGATGCTCATCTGTCGGGAGTGCTTTATATGTTTCCCGTCTGACAGAATAGGGTTGCGCAGAATGGCCCTTGGGGTCTTTTCCAAAATAATGACTCTAATCCACAGCCAGGGTGGAAAAGTAGTAAGACTACAGTACTAAGACTGTAGTCCACCTAAATCTTTACCCTGGAGGCTCCTTATTCTATCTGAAGGAAAAAGGGGCAAATCCCAGGCCCACCCTGAGGCCCGTAGGACAACGAAGCTCTCAAGGGCCCTTCCCTCCTTCTTCTCCGCTTCTTCGCCCAGTTCCCACTCGACCTACCGAGGCGTATCCGGATGGCCTAGTCACGGCTCCGGCCCGGCCCAGCAAGCCTTCCCGCATGATGATGCTACTGCTTCTGAGGCTCCTCGGAGGATTAGGACCGGAAGTACCCGCCCACCCCGCGCCCCGAAGAGCTTCCCGTCGCGCGCCGACACCAAGACTCCGCCCCTTCCCTTGTTTTTGGAGCGCTTCGCATTCGACCGGAAGCTGGGCTCGCGCAACGCCTGCCGGGAGATGTAGTTCTAGTGGAATCTCAGCCAGATTCCCTCCTAGTAGCCACTTTGGAGGGGGCTTTGGACACACAGAATAACTCTATCCTCTTTCTCCAAGAGGGATGGCCCTTAAAAGGATGACAGGTGTGTGTCCCTCAAATAAAAGCACCCTCCCCTATTTGAGATCAGGAAATCTGACAATCTGTGACAAATCTCTC